GTTGTCCTATTCCCCCACACTAGAAGATACACCACAGAGAAAAGCCCCGGTTACACCCACACAGTGTACACTTCTCTTGTCTGCAATGCTTGCAGAATGAGAGGAGGGATGACGAGCAGAAGGATTACCGTTTATGAGATCTCGAGCGCGAATCCGGGGAATCGATCGGGTGATGTCTGTGGCTGAGAGCGAGCGAGCGACAAAAAGCTTGATCTCCCGCCCCTCCCTCACTCACACACGTACCACCCCATTGCTCACTCACTGGGTGACAGAATGACCTCCTTAGGATCGTGTGTGAAGTACAACAGGTAGAGGTGACTCCCTCTCCAGGACAGAGCACAGAGAGGAGAGAGGAGGGATTGCAGGACTGGAGGACCAATAAGCTTGCTCAGTGTATCGGTCACCGCTGTCGAGCGATAGAGGGCACAACTAGCAACATAGAGGATTCAGACCGCAGAGTCGTACTGCACTCTATCATATTACACTTACATCCTAGTCTCAAATAAATAAATATAACGACAACCATGTTGTGAGAGAATTAAAAAAAAAGCCCATAGATGTAAGAAGTAAAGCAACAAGAGAATCGGTCTCGAACAGCCGGACACACAGTAAGAGATAAGAGAATATCGATGTCGTTAGTTTAATCCAGGACTTAGGCGGCGCTGGCTGAGGGCTGTCTGGAGAGTCTGTCGCTCGTTGGTAACTAACTGCCAGTGAGCATTAATGTATATGTGATGAGGTCGAGAGAGTTGATAAAAGAATATGTCACATGCCTATGGGTCCAAACATTCAGGTTTGGGGCGATTGGGCAGGCCTCAAGACACACATGTGGTTTAAAGGGAAGTGACTTATTGTATGTGCGCCTGAGGTTGGCATGCAGGTTATTAAAGTGGCTACAACCCCCAAAAACACACATCTATCGATAACTGATCACACACCAAAGGCCATGATCACTTTCTGGTATTTAATCACCTGCAGCTGCCGCTATAGAGAGGAGGCGAGAAGTAGAGATAAACAAGTGTCAGAAGTCGCACATTTATGACACCAATTCCATCTTTTCTATTAGTTACTCTTGTTCAGTCATCCCAGTATAAATTAAACCATAGTTGTGTGGTATGCGACCTGACCTAAATCATTCCCATTCATGAGAGATATCCTGCTTTGTGAAAGTGTTTTCATTGTGGGACACAATATTCCCACATTATCTCCCAATGAACGGGTGGTATAAACAGAAGTATCTTAGTACCTCTCTATTTGAAAAGGGTTCCTGAGTATACTTCTGTTAGAAGTTGGCGCTGTACAAAGTAAAACTTGCAGGTCTAAATACATTCTGTTTTAACCACCCTTCATTGGGGATAATGTGGGAATATTGTGTCCCACAGATGAAACACTTTCACAAAGGTTCCTCTCTGTGGGCAAACAGTGCACACGGACTGAATGAACCAGGTAATGAAAAGAATGGAAATGTGCCACTGACACTGTCTCTCTCTTCCTTCCTCTATCCTCAGTTACCCAGAGAACACATGGCCTTTGTGTGTGTGTGTGTGT